TTGGGGGGGAGGGTTGATGCGCGGAGCCGAGATGAGAAAAGAGGTTAACACCTCGAGGCCCACTATACTAGCGCGGCGTTACTGCCACCGCTGAGCGGTCGGGTTGAACACCTGCAAGCCTGCAACTGCATCAGGATCTGCAAAACATTCCGCGCTAGCGCCCTTGACGCCACGTGGTAGCCCAATTTTACCGTATGCAACGAAACGTCATCATCACGATCGGAGACAACAAATTACGGAGACCCCGCAATGCTATCCTCCCTATACTCCGCGCCGAGGAAAAAAGTCGTGTGAGCCTCTGTAAGTATATTGCCTTTCCTTTGCTGAGACATGAATGTTCCGGAGAATAAAACCTTCGAATTTTACAGAGAATTTTAGTCGCAATTTGATCTCAAATAACTAAAAATTTCCAGAAAAAATATTAGCAACCTTCTTCAAAAATGAATATTCAATCGGGAAAATCAGGCAACATTCGAATACACAAATTGTTCTTCCTGAGCACGATAGAATTTATTCTCAAGGGTGAACTCAATTAAGATCCAGTTTGACAAACTTTCTTAACTTACCGCTTGATCCGAAATTCATCAGTCATCAAGAAAAAACCTGGCTTGTTGCTGATCTAATATGATCGGAAAAAAAAGGAGTTGACCTAGTTTCTATCCCACTCGATCACGATCATATTGCTTGAATTGAAAATTCATGAAATATTCATCTGGTTTTTGTCCGGAAAAAAAAAATCGAAATCGTGCAAGGTGAAAGGGGCTTGGAGCATGCATGGAGGCAGGAGAGCAATTTGCGTGAAGTTGGATAAAAACAATTGGAACTTGCATGTTTGATTTAGACAGACTACACTGAAATTTCAAGTTCATTTTGGTGAAAACTACAATTTGAAGAGACAAAATGTCTAAAAATTCGGAAAGAAGAATACATTTTCAAGGCGTTGTAGTGCTTTGCGTTAAGAGTAAAGATCCAATTACTTACGAATTCGTGATTTAAGATCCTTAAGTCCTAAAAATATCAACTCAGGAGCAGAGATCAACTTACCTAGAACAGAAAAGAAAAAATACTACGTTACTTGATTATAAAAATGATTGTTATAATGCGTAATATTGGGTGAAAATTTTAAATTTAGTTTTTCAAAAGGAAAACACACGGGAATGCTCCTGGGGGCTCTTTATAGTGTGCTTTTAAGTGCACACGTGTATGTGTTTACATTGAAAATTTCCAAGGAAGTCTACACTTAGGCCAGAAATCTCTGGGAACGAAAAAATTCAGATTTAAGCTAAAAAGACAATACATATATTTTAGAGATCATGCATTGCCTCTTTATTCCTGGTGGTTTTTAACTCACTTTGAAGTCAACGCTCAGATTCACCGAATGATGACTGATAACCAGAGATTTGAGCAGCTGGTTTCACAAACCTAACCTGTGCGATAAATTCGCTCAGAGACAAGAGACCCTCCACTAGTATCTTGGCCATTGTGGAAGCTTTTACTTTCGGGACTTCAGCACTCCACTGTTGACTTACCTACATGGTTGATGTTCAACAACGTGTTGGTAGTTTCGTTTTGCAAACAAGCCGAAAATGGCCGACGTCTTGGAAACTTGTTTGGCTCATGACGTCATCCGAAGCTCATCATCGACCATGTAGGTAAGTCAACAGCCGAAACT